TTTGCCCATCCTCAGTAATAAAACACTACCATTTTCCATTTGATATTGGTGCGAAATATAGCAGCTCAAAATCTTTTCTCAAAGTCTGACTCTTTAGGCCTGGTAACAATTTAATGTGCAACTAAACCTTTATGATTTGTAGATGGATTACTAGAATTACGCTTTATCTTTGGTGACTCAGCTTTTTCCCACCCTTGCCACTTAGCCAGGTTCAAGGATGACGGAAAGAAAGCTGAACTAAGTCAGGGTCAAACATGTATTGTCTAATCATGGTGTGTGTGTGAGAGAGAGAAAGAGAGAGAGACTTAATTCCCAAGCCAAACTCAAGTTTCTTAATTATTTTTAAAAGTCTCTGTTTTGGAGTTAGATAAATAATTACATAAGGCTAAAAAGAAAGCTGGACATCTTTTCTTCCTCCTCCCCTTCCTTCTCCCTTCCCAGGAAGAATTAGTCCTTCCTTCCTTTCTTCTCCACATTTTTTCCTTCTTCCCATCCTCCTTCACTCCTTCCCTTCCTTTCCTTCTTCATTTCTAACGGGCTCAGCTTAAAGCAAAGGGTTCTTTTGCAGCAGGGTAGGGAGGACATCACACATACAACCTTCAGTTGAATCGCGTCTGGTCCTTTTCAAGACATTGATCGGGCAAAGATGGCCAGTGCATCCCTACACCCTGCGCGCTGCCCCGCTGTCCCAGGAAGACCACAGCCTCTGCACAGCGGGTGACCTGGGAGCCTGCTGCGTCTGGCTTCTGTGGGTCCTTCTCCCTCTCTGTTCCGTGCCCTCTCATTCACATCTGTCATTCTCTCTGTCTGTAGGCCTCCCTCCTTCTGTGCCTGCTCTCCTCTGTTCTCTTTCATTCATTCATCTCCCATCTCCTCTCCTTTTTCTCTTCCAGATCTCTAAATTATAACTTAAAATATTTTCATTCCTGAATTTAAATGGAAAAAGTGATTTGATAAAGTGTTTCTTTAAAGATGTTATTGTCATAACTTGTAATTGTTTGTTTCTGAGTTGGTGACTTTCAGTAGAAAGAAAGCATGCTCGCTGCAGCCTGCAGAATGACCGCTTAGAAAATGGACGAGATCTTTAGAGGTTCCTCTGCTAATTTTTTTCTAAGTTTCTTATGATTTTTTTCAGAAGGAAAACATCATAATCATTGAAATGCATAATGATTTTTAAGCAGGGTTGCCAAATTTAGCAAGTAAAAATACAGGACACCTCATTAAATGAGAATTTCAGATAAACGACTAATAATTGTTTAGTATAAGTATGTCCCATGCAATATTTGAGACATATTTCTATTAAAAAAGTAATTGTTGTCTGTCTGAAATTAAAATTTAATTGGGTATTCTGTATTTTATAATTGACTATATTTATAATATTTGTGTGTGTATATATGTGATATTTCTGAGCTGGGTGTTTTTATTTGGGGACTAACTGCAGTTACAGTTTCCTCGCTGCTTCTCCTCCCTGGCACATATATACAAACACAGAGTACTGACTTTATATTTCCCCCGTGGGTATATACTTTATTCACTTCCTTCTGACTCCATCTTAAATGTAAATGGTTTAAGGGAAGCATGTACTTACATAGTCCATTCTGTATGACTTAATAAACCTCAGAAAAGGGCAGCATTTCTGAATCTTTTGTAAAACAAAATCTTATAGTTGCACTAGGTAGATTTTTTTTCTTAATCTCTCTCTCATTTTAAAACAAAATATCAGGCCGGGCGCGGTGGCTCACGCCTGTAATCCTAGCTCTCTGGGAGGCCGAGGCGGGTGGATTGCTCGAGGTCAGGAGTTCGAAACCAGCCTGAGCAAGAGCGAGACCCCCATCTCTACTATAAATAGAAAGAAATTAATTGGCCAACTAATATATATACAAAAAATTAGCCGGGCATGGTGGCGCATGCCTGTAGTCCCAGCTACTTGGGAGGCTGAGGCAGGAGGATTGCTTGAGCCAGGAGTTTGAGGTTGCTGTGAGCTAGGCTGACGCCATGGCACTCACTCTAGCCTGGGCAACAAAGTGAGACTCTGTCTCAAAAAAAAAAAAAAAAAAAATATCGGAAAGTATGAATAACTATAGTGGTAGTCGTAGCTAACATTTACGGAGCACTTGCCATTTGTCAGGCACTGTTCAAGTATTGTATTCTATGCCAGGTTAAGTCATTTAAATTCCCCAAACCAATGAGATAGGTACTATTATTATCCCTACCTTAGAGATGGGATAATTATAAACTGAGGCACAGAGAAATTGGGTAATACTCAGTTTCCAGTTATTAACATTTTACATTAGTAGGATACATTTGTCACAATTAATGGACCAATATTGGTATATATTATCACAAGAGTCCATCTTTTATTCAGATTTCCCTAGTTTTCCCCTAACACCCTTTTTTATGCCCCAGGATCCTGTCCAGGATGCCCCAGGACATTTAGTTATCATGTTTCTTTGGGTTCCTGTTGGTTGTGAGGACAGTTTCTTAGACTTTCATAGTTTTTGATGACCTTGACAATTTTGAGGAGGACTGGTTGGGTGTTTTGTAAAATACTCCTCAATTGGGATTGGCCTGGTGTCTTTCTCATGGTAAGACTTGGGCTTTGGGTTTTGGGGGGAGACCACAGGGCAAGTGCCCTCCTCATCACGCCATGTCAACCCTGATCGGCTGCTGAGGAGCTATCCGTCATTTTTCTCCACTGTAAAGTTACTCTTTTTTCCCTGTTTCCCTCTGTGCTCTTTGAAAGGAAGACAGTATTTCTAGCCCACACCTAAGTAGTTGTGCATTATGATTGAGCTATTTTCAAATAACAGCTTTATTGAGATACAATTTATATACCATATAATTCACCTATTTAAAGTGTGTGATTCAGTGGTTTCCAATATATTTAGAGTTATGCAAACACCACCAAGATCTATTTTAAAACATTTCCACCACCCCAAAAAGAAACCTCATACTCATTAATAGTCATTCCCCTTTTCTCTCTCCTCCCCCAGCTCATGGCTACCACTGATTTACTTTCTGTCTCTATAGATTTGCCTATGCTGGATGTTTCATATAAAAGGGATCATACAATATGTGGTGTTTTGTGACTGGCTTCTTTCACTTAGCATGATGTTTTTTAAGGCTTGTACATATCGTAGCATATATTAGTATTTCATTTCATTAGTATTTTATTGAATAATATTCTATTGTATGGATATACCACATTTTGTCTATCCATCCATAAGTTGATGGACATTTGGGTTGTTTCCACTTTTTGGCTACTGTGAATAATGTTGGTATGAACATTTGTGTACAAGATTTTATGTGGACATATATTTTTATTTCTCTTGGCTAACTACCTAGAAGTGGAATTGCTGGATATAATTGAGCTATTTTTAAAATAAGAAAACACCTGACTAGGCTGTGGGCTGTCCCTGCTTCCAGTTCTCTACACTGGCTAGGAAAACCTATAAAGCCATAACATAAGTCCCCACCTCTAATCTGTGGGAAGGTACCCAAATTGCAAGCATGTTGACTCAGATGAAAAAAAAAACCAGCTTCTAAAAGCCTGCCTACATATCCTATCCTATAAACCTAAGGCAAATAATATAGCTTACATGCACTGAAAAAAATACAGAATCCATATATTACTAGTTTCTGTTGAGAAGTTTTAAGAAAGCTCTGTCTCTCCTATGTCTAAATGTTCCTCAAGGTAGATCAAGAGTAAGTTGTTTGTACCACAGTTTTTTTTACCATTCATCTATTAATGGGCACTTGGGTCGATTCCATATCTCGCCTATTGTGATAGCGCTGTGAGGGACACAGGACAGCACCTATCGCTTTGACGTGCAGATGGCAATGCCTTTGGGTGCATACCCAGAGTGGGTTGTTGGATCATATGGTAGTTCCATTTTTAATTTTTGAAACCTTCATACTGCTCTCCATAATGGCTGTACCACTTTACATTCCCACCAGCAGTGTACAAGGGCTCCCTTTTCTCCACATCCTTGCCAACATTTGTTATTTCTTGTCTTTTTGATAATAGCCATCATGACAGGGGTGGTACATACATACAATGGAATAATATTCCTCCATAAAAAAGAAGGAAATCCTGCCATTTGGGACAACATGGATGAACTTGGAAGATGTTATGCTAAGTAAAATAACCCAGACACAGAAAGACAAATACTGCATGATCTCACTTACATGTGAAATCTAAAAAAGTCGAACTCATGGAAGCAGATAATAGAAAGGTGGTTGCTGGGGTTGGGGAATAAGGGAAACGGGGAAAATGTTGGTCAAAGGGTACAAACTTTCGGTTACAAAATGGACAAGCTCTGGGGATCTAATGTGCAGCTGGGTGTTGATGGATGTGTTCATTAATTTGGTTTCGGTAATCATTACACAGTGTGTACATATATCAAATCATCATCTTGTACACCTTGAATATATTCAATCTTTATTTGAAAATTAAATATTTTTTCCTAAAAAAGAATAAATTGTTTGCCTAAGCCCGCTTTTTGAAATTCTTCTAAGGCTGCAACTGTCACTGTTAGGACTAAGTATAATTTACAAGGTGAATAGGAGCTAGGAGAAGGCGCAGTAGCTACTGCTTTCTCATGCAAGGGATTCACGTGGCACTTTAAGGCGGCATTAGGTAGAAGGAAAACATAAGCAACCATACGGTTTGAGCCCCAACTCTTCTACAGTGGAGAAGCAGGGGAGGGACAGGAGAAAACAACGGACCTGAAGTCTAGAGCGCCACCACCTTCCCCTTCAGCCACTCAGATAGGGACGGGTTCAGTTAATTGGCAAGTTTAAAAAGTCAAACAATATTTGATCATTTTCCTATTCTTGGTGAAAAGAAATTAAACCCAAGTAATTTGTAATAGATAGCATTGGAATTGTTCCCTTAATAATAAGCAATTGTTTGTGCTTCTATATAAATGTCTTTTTCCACATCTATTACAACCTTTGAAATATGATAAAATCAAGCAGGACGTTTTTTAGGGCTAGTCTTTTAGCAGAGAATAAGAAAGGTGGAAATAAGTCTGTTTGTGCTGAATAATGAAACTCCAGAAGATCGCAGTCAACATAAACTCGTCACGTCTTCTCTTTCCTTTGTTCCTTTTTCCTTCCTGAAGGATCTGTTACAGGGCCCTACACAGAACGAGAGTAAAATAACTGTTGGCCGATTGCTAACTGATTTACTTCTGTATCTCCTTCTAGAATCTTGCTGACTCTGGAGGGAAAAGATGCTTATTAAGCAATGTATTATAATAAAATGCAAGTCATAGTCCGTCACTGCACGTAAGGTATGACATTATATGAGGGTGTTATACAAAAGAAAGTGTGACAGGAAATTGCCACTTTAAAGAATGCAACCATGGGTGTACACTAAAATAAAGCCCTTAAAAATGTCAGTGGTGGCCTAGACTAGCGTGTGGTTTGAAAGAAGCAACCTCTTGCTGCCGTGCGGATGGAAACATCTGAGGAGACAGCCAAAGAAAAAAATTACCTAAGGAAGAGGGGGAGGGTCTCTTTTCCTGGGGACATTTCCAAGCAGACTAGGTCCTGCCTGGGATGATGCAGATCAGAGCTGGCGTGTGGAATGCCTCCAGCGGTGGAGACGGTGACCATCTCAGCCCTAAGGGAAACGGGCCAGAGCTGGGCCCACGGCACCTAAGGCTGATCAGCTCTGTCCATAGGGGCCTCTTGGATTTACCCCCAAATGCCATAAAAATATAATTTTTTCTGCACTGCATGATGTGAAACAGGTCGAGAAGCTCCTATCTAGATGAAGCTCAGCAGAAGCTGACCTAGATGATTATTCAGCAGGGATAAAGGATATAACAAATTATCCATCATCCTTCTCATGAAAATAAACTATGGCACAATCATTACAATTTATTTCTTTTTTAGCTTTAGGATTTGATTTTGTTTTTAGATGAAAATATGGGTGTCTCTAATATCTTTAGAGAGTGGGTGTAAAAGGGTTTTAGCCTGACATTAGAGGACTCAGCACTGAGTAGCTCCAGCCACGAATTTGATGAGTTTCTTGGTCACCTGATTCTCATAACTGGCACTCCATTTTATTCCCTTGTGCCCGAGTTCCCGTCTTGGTGTTTGTCTGATGTTCCAGACCCCACAGCTCAGGCCTCTCTTGTTCTTACAAGTCTTTCCTCCAGAGGAATGGACTTCTCTGCTCCTGAAACCAAGCCCAGGGCATTCCAGGAAAAAACCCGCATTTGTAGAGATGCTGAGATAAGAATAAACATGGCACGTGTGGGGAGATTGCAAGTAGTTCAACGTGACTTACATGAAATGGAAAGATCTGAGAAAAGGAAGTGATAAAACTAGAAAAGCAAGCAGGGGAGGCAGCGTGAAAGACCCTGGAGTCATCTTGAGGACGCAGAATATACTCTTGTCCTGCCAAGGACGTATTGTGGATACGTGGATATTATGCAGAAAACATTTTATTTCATTTTATGAATAACTACATGGCTCAGATGACTTCATTCACTGTCATTAGTGACTAAATTCATGAAATACATTTGTCTTTTCTGTCTAGGTAGGTGTAACACGTTACATCTGACAGTAGTTTTAGCAAATTTGAAATATACAATAAATACATTATTATTATGAATGGTCACTATGCTGGACAACAGATATCTAAAATTTATTTCTCCTGTCTGACTAAAAGTTTGTACCCTTTGACCAATATCTACACTTTTCCCATTCACCAACCCCCAACCCTACCAACCTCTCATAACCACCTCTACATTATACTTCTATGTGTTTGACTTTTTCGGATTCCAATATAATTGCAATCATGAAATATTTGTCTTTCTGTGCTTGGCTTATCTCAGTCTGCAAAATGTCTTCCAGGCTCACCCATAGGCTGCAAATGACAGAATTTCCTTCTTGTTAAAGCCTGAATAGTATTCCATTGTTTATATACACCACATTTTCTTTATTCATTTGTTGATGAACACTTAGGTTGAGTCCATATATTGGCTACTGTGAATAATGCTGCAATAAACATGGGTGTGTAAATATCTCTTTCATATACTAATTGCAATCCCCTATACTATGATAATTCTGATTTTAATTTTTTGAGGACCCACCATACTGTTTTCCATAATGACTGTGCTAATTTACATTCCCACCAGCAGTGTACCAGGGTTCCTATTTCTCTACATCCTACTGATCTTTTGTCTTCTTGATAACAGCCATTCTAACAGGTGTGAGGTGATAGCTCCTGATGATTGGCAGTGCCGAGCATCTTTTCATGAACCTGTTGGCCATTTGTATGTCTTATTTTGAGAAATGACTGTTCAGGTTCTTTGACCATTTTTTAATATTTTTTATTCTTGCTATTGAGTTATTTGAGTTACTTACATGTTTGGATATTAACCTCTTATCAGATGTATGGTTTGCAAATATCTTCTCCCATTCTGCTGGTTTTCTCTTCATTGTTAATTGTTTCCTTTGCTGTGCGAAAACTTTTTAGTCTGATGCAATCCCATTTGTCTATTTTTGTTCTTGTTGCTTGTGCTATGGAGTCCTATCCAAGAAATCATTGCTTAGACCAATATCATGGAAATTTTCCCGTATGTTTACTTTTAATAGGTTTACAGTTTCAGGTCTTACATTTAAGTCTCCAATCCATTTTGAGTTGATTGTTGTATATAGTGTAAAGGTCCATTTTCATTCTTTTTGTATGCGAATATCCAGTTTGCCCAACATCATTTATTGAAGAGACAGTCCTTTCCCCATTGTGTGTTATTGGTACCTTTGTCAAAGATCAATAAACTGTATATGCATGGTTTATTTCCAGGCTTTCTATCCTGTTCCACTGGTGTATGTATTTGTTTTTATGCCAGTAATATGCTGTTTTGATTACTATAGCTTTGTAATATATTTTAAAATCAGATAGTGTGATGCCTCCAGATCTGTTCTTTTTGCTCAAGATTGCTTTGGATAATCAGGGTCTTTGGTAGTGTCATACACATTTTAGGATTGTTTTTTATATTTCTGTGAAAAATGACACTGGAATTTTGATAAGGATTGCACTGAATCTATAGATTGATTTGGGTAGTATGGCTATTTTAATAATATTAATTCTTCCAATCCATGACTATAGTATATTTTTTCATTTATTTGTGTCATCTTCAATTTCTTTCCTTGATGTTTTATAGTTTTCAGTGTACAGGTCTTTTGTTTCCTTGGTTAAATTCACTAACTATTTTATTCTATTTTTTTAAATGTTATTTTAAATGGGATTATTTTTTTAATTTCTTTTTTGAACAGTTCATTGTTAATATATAAAAACGTTATTGATTTTTTCATATGTTAATTTTATATCCTACAACTTTACTAATTTATTTATCTGTTCTAACAGTTTTTTGGTGTAGTCTTTAGGGTTTTTTTTATATATATAAGATCCTATTGATGGTTCAAGGGGCACAATGGCTTACACCTGTAATCCCAGTGGTTTGGGAGGCCAAGGTGGGAGGATTGCTTGAGGCCAGGAGTTTGAGACCAGCCTGGACAACATAGTAAAACCCTATCTCCACACACACAAAATATAGCCAGTTATGGTGGCACATGCTGTAGTCCCAGATCCTTGGGAGGCTGAGCAGAAGGATCACTTGAACTCAAAAGTTTGAGGTTACAGTGAGCTATGATCATGCAATTGTACTCCAGCCTGGTTGACGGAGCAAGACCTTGTCTCTAAAAGAAAAAAAAAAAGATTATGTCATCAGTGAACAGAGACAATTTTAATTGCACTTTATCCTTATAGTTGGATGCCTTTTATTTATTTTTCTTGCCTTATAGCTTAGGTTAGGATATCTAATACTATGTGGAATAGAAGTGGTGAGAGTGGGCATCCTTGTCTTGTTCCCAATCTTAGAGGAAAAGCTTTCAACTTCTCACCACTGAGTGTGGTGTTATCTGTGGGCTTGTCACATATGGCCTTTATTGTGCTGAGGAACATTTCTTATGTACACAATTTGTTGAGAGAGTTTATCATGAAAGGATGTTGAATTTTGTCAAATGCTTTTTCTGTATCTATTGAGATTATCATTTGGTTTTGTCCTTTATCTATTAATGTGATATATCACATATATTGATTTGCATATGTCAAACCATCCTTGTATCCTTGAGATAAATATCACTTGATCATGGTGAATTATCTTTTTATGTGGTGTTGAATTTGGTTTGCTAGTATTTTGTTGAAGATTTTAACATGTATGTTCATCAGGTATATTGGGCTATATGTTTCTTTTCTTACAGTGTCTTTATCTGGCTTTGGCTTCAGGATAATTCTGGCCTCATATAATAAGTTTAGAAGTATTTTCTTCTCTTCAGTTTTTTGGAAGAGTTTGAGGAGGATTGGTATTAGTTCTTCTTTAAATGTTTGGTAGAATTCAGCCATGAATGTATCAGTACTGTGCTTTTATTTTAATAGGATGATATCTCTTTTAATTTAAATGTATTTGATAACTAATGAGGTGAACATCATGTTTAATGGCCATTCTTATTTTTTTCTTTTCTTTTCTCTCCCCCCCCCCACCTTTTTTTTTGAGACAAAGTCTCGCCATGTTGCCCAGGCTGGAGTGCAATGGCCCAATCATAGCTCACTGTAACCTTGAACTCCTGGGCTCAAGTAACTCTTCTGCCTCAGCCTATTGAGTAGCTAGGATTACAGATGCATTCCCCACCATGCCTGGCTAACTTTTTTGTAGAGCTGGGGTCTTGCTTTGTTGCCCAGGCTAATCTCGAACTCCTGGCCTCAAGCAATCCTCCTACCTAGCCTCTCAAAGCACTGGGATTACAGGCATGAGCCACCATGCCCAGTCTGTATTTTTTTTTATCTTAAATGGCTCATTAATGCCCTTTGCTGATTTTCCTATTAAGATTTTAGTATTTGACTATTAATATAAGTGCCCAAGTGACCACTTTTATGTGTGCATATAAATTTGGTATATCTTAATATATCAAAAATCACTCTATGAGAGCCTAGTTTAAGAAGATCCTAGAAGTTATTAATTTTCTTCATCTTTATTCATACCTACTCACCAATATCAAAGTTATTAATAAAAATGGACTGATAACCTGTAAGATAATGCTATTCACTAACCTAAATAGAATTGTCTACTCAGGCTATTAATAGGCTGTCTAATAAGCAGGCTATTATTGCAATTACTTCTTTCCTCAAGAGTTAAAAACAAATCAAGCATATTTTGTTTAAAAGACTGTCTTTTCCCTCTTCTTTTGGGGTATAGGCTGCTGGTAGGAATAAGTGCATAGAAATAACAATGATGACCACAAATGATTTCTTAAAGAAGACCAGGTGAAAACACTCAAATAAGTAATTGAAGACATGATTTGACATAGAAAACTTTGATGCAAATAATCTTCTATATCTAACCCAACCACATTTACAACAGAGAAGACATACACAATATGAACTTGGAAAGACTTTTAGATGGCAGCTAAAATGTAGGATTGCAAAAGAATTTTCCTCCTCCAAATTGAGTCAAACGTACACAGTGAAGTGAAAGAGCAAAAGAATATATAATCAATGTTGAAACAATGCCATGGTCTCCATTTCATTCTACAAGCTTCAAAAAATATCATCAAGATATATCACAAATTTTATCCAGCTGAAAGGTGTTGCAAGGAATAGACTCTTGACTTCTTCTCTCAAGAGAGAAATGCAATGGAGCGATCAGTACTGAGAGAAAACTCTGAAAAAAATCACTGATGTTTGCTACCAAGATTGGAGATTTGGGTGACAAACAAAAGGTAAAACCTTCTAACTTGAAGTCCCTCTCTCCTATCTTACATAAATAGGTCATAAACCTAGTTTAGAAAAACGTACAGAATTTGCTTTGTTTTCCCTTCAGCCAGGTGGAAATTGAAAGGGAGTTTTTTGTTTGTTTGTTTAAAGTAGCAAATTAAATCTCTAGGTGTGAGAGGGATGGAGCAACATCAAGGCACACTAATCTGAAAGTTGAAACACCCAACTCTTTCACACTAAATACGCCAGCCGGATGGTTTACCCTGAAACAAGGGAACACATCAAAACTCAAGAGAACGTCATTGCCCCATCTACCTGTCTACAGGAACAGACCCCCTTCCCTGAACTCAGTAGAATGACTTCTTGATACAGGGCTCATTACAGTGGTGACAAAGCTTCATGATGTCTTCTGCTCCAAGTCCCCACCCTCTCATCTTATCCCTTCCTGCTTCCCACGGGCAGGTGAAGGGTAGAGCAAAACTACAGCCATCAACACAGCCCTTCAACTCACATGCCAAGGAGAGGAGCCACATATTACCCAGATAAGCTTCTCTGAGTCAAGGAGAATTGGCCTCCTCTCTTTTGGGAGCAAACAGGCCAGAACAGGATTGCCTTGTCAAAGAAGAGTAGGCAAAACAAGCTGAATGTGGGCCTGTGGAAAAATTTGTTAGTCTCCTCCATAAAGGAAAAAAATGCCCAGGACTGGTAAAGGATCCCAAATTAGAAGAAAACTTACCCTGGAAAGAGAGGAAGTGTCTGGATACCATGTCCTTTACACGCCTGGGGAGATGAAGGAGAAGATGAAATAACGAAATGAAAACATAAGGTCCAAAAGAAGCTGGGAATGCCAAGGAAAGGAACTGAGGAGAAAACAATCTGATCCCAGAATGAAGAAATGTGTTAGGAAGACAAAGGCACAGAATGAACATGCGGGAAACTGAGCCAATACACATTCAGTGACAGTGGGAAGCATTTCTGAAATGATCAGTTCAGTTTGTACATTGAATGGTTTCAGGGAATAAACAGAAAATAAGCAGTATCAAGAAGAATACTGCTGAAGCTGTTGAAAATGAGAAAAACTCCTAAAGGTGTCCTGAAGTGTGGGCCACACCACCTGCACAGGGAAAAGGAATGGATTGGGCTAGCTTCAGACTTCTGCTCAGGAATGTTCTCCTGAAAACAATGAAGCAACATCTAAGTGTTTTCAGTGAAAAGGGAAGTGCCCAAAGAGTTCAGTGCTCAATGTCATTCACGTGCACAGGCCTCAGACAGCCTCAGGGGGCGAGCATTCTAGAGACGGGCCATTCCTCCCATCCAAGTACTAACCAGGCCCGACCCTGCTTAGCTTCCCAGATCAGACGAGATTGGGCGCGTTCAGGGTGGTGTGGCCGTAGACTGAGATGGGCCATTTCTGAAAAGTCTACTTGATGATATAATTCAATCAACCGGGCACTGAAATAAAATGAGAAACTACAATGTCTCAGTCACGGAGTATGCCTATTTTCAATTTTCCTAGCTATTGCCAAAATGCTTTGCAAAGTGGTCATACGGGTTTACACTGTATCAAGTTTCCACCTGCCCACCTGCTTGCCAACACTTAGAATGGTAAGATTTTAGAATTGTTTCCAATCTGACAGATGCAAAATGGTATTCCATCACTGTTTTGCATTTTTCTAAGGTGAAGCTCCTAATTTCCCTCCAAAATGGTATGGTTGTACCAATTTTCCCTCCCATTAGCAGTATATTAGTATTTATTTTGCTCCATATTGTTGTCTACATTTGATATTTGGAGAATGAAGGTGGTCATCAGTTGGTTTATGGTATCCTGCAAATTTGCAATCACCTCTCTTAACCATTAGTGTAAATACTTCTAGACCCCCTCTACAAATATTAACATTTCCCCCTTTTAAGCACAGACTGGATATTGCAATCCAAATCGTGATCTCCTTTTTCATTCAACAATTATTGTAGAGGATCCACAATCCCCTCCCCCTCTTACCTCTCAGCACCAGCAAACTCTGTAAAGGAGTTGTACGGGAAAATACTCCTTTCTTCCTTTATCAGGTAATTTAACTAACGCTCAATCGAGTATTGATGCAGTGCTGTACAGTGTATGAATTCTCTTCTTCATCTGGTGAATCATTGATGGGCCTTCCTTTTCCTGCACTGAGTCGCTGTGTGGGAAGAGAAAGAAACTTCACCTGCGCACTGGCTATGGTTTCACACATAAAGAGCGAACATTTGTAAATAAACTACTAATCCAGCCAAATTGCTTAATTTCCAGTTAGTTGCAGAGTCATAAAATATAAAAAGTACCCTTAGATACCTGCATAACATTTTATTATACAAATGTGGTAAAGCTAGCAAATCCCTGTGAGGTAAGCCAAAGTGCACCCTCCTGAGCAGATGATATTTTATAGTCACTCTCCAGTTTTATTGCTGTAGAGAGTCAACCACAATTGCCCTATTTCACCATTGTAACGTGGGCTTGTCTGAATTTCCGTTGAAAACACTTTCTCCTGTCGAGGATATTAGTGCTACCCTAGCAAGAAAAAAGTTCTAGCACCTAAGTGGTCACATAGGTACTACAGTAATAGGGTATTGGCCAGGTGGGAGGGGGGACGGGGGCGGGTATGTACATACATAATGAGTGAGATGTGCACCATCTGGGGGATGGTCATGATGGAGACTCAGACTTGTGGGGGGAGGGGGAGAAATGGGCATTTATTGAAACCTTAAAATCTGTACCCCCATAATATGCCGAAATAAAAAAGAAAAAAGAAAAAAGTTCTTTCATTTTTCTAGATCCATCTGGCAAAGGCATGTGGGGTGGTGCAGGTGAACACGATGCCACATATTATATGAAGAAATAGGACGTAAATTGTTTCTCTTCACACTCTCCCCTGAGGAGGCGCATCACATTTTCCCCCTACACTAATTCTCTTGGATTATGTCTTTCTCCTGACCAAGAAACAAACTTACATGCACAGCACTCAAAACTGGAGCTGTTTACATGGGATTTGGAAAAGATTAAGTGCAGGCAGCCAAAATGCTAATTGTAATCTTGGACTTTGATTTTCTCATGCAGATTCAAATTTTTGTTCACATTCTAGGTAAACCAGTGGATCTAGTTATCTCTGTTCCCCTCTGAAACATCAGCAAAATGACAAAATAAGAATGTGTAATGGCAGGAACTCACCAGTACAGAGGGAATCTGAGAAGGAACAACAATGGATGGAAGATTCTCCACAGTTTCAGAAACGGGAAGTAGAGGAACCAGTGGTCACTGACTTAGTAGAGTCAGTTTCTCTTAGGAGAAAGAGAAAAACCTGAGTCTCCAGGTGCGAGGGCAAGGAGAAGAGGGTTGATTCATTCTGTAGCACCCTAGTTCAGGAATGGGATGCAACAGGTGAACCTCGGATGGGAGAACTGAGGGTCGCCTGAAACTCTGCAACAAGGACATTCACTCCACATCTGCTCCATGCTTCCATCCAGCTAAGGGACTGCTCCTCCCCTACCCTATAAGAGAATGGAGGTTTATTCTTTGGAGAAATAGAAAGAGTGAGAGAGAGGTTCTGGCATGGGGACTGTGGGCATAATGGAGGGTATGAAGAGCACTGTGACAAGAGTCCTTTCTCTGCTCTCCAGCATTCAAGCTTATGCCCCTCTCTTTCCCCAACCATCCCTCTGGCCCTCCCCCTGTTTACTTTCCTCCAAGCAGAAAATCATTTGATTTTCCCCTGGAGAAAGTACCCCAAGAGAAAAAAGATCCATAGACGCTGACATTTAGGGGCCTCTCGATGAAACAAATAGGCCCTCCTGAATCACATCTCACCACAGCCCACAAGTCAACAGACACTAACCACGCCTTGCTCCCAAATATAAACTGTCAAATTTCAGTAAACATTTGAGGAACACCTCCAACATGAAAGCTGTACAAATAATCAAAAAGTCAAAACAAATAATCTGGAAAAAAGGAAGAACTCAGAGAAAACAAACAGAAACAATTCAGGAAGCAGAAAACAAGTTCAACAGTGTTCTGAGAGACAAAAGAGAATACACTGCATCCATAAAATAAGAACAATCAGAAACTAGTCAGTGCTCCTGAAAAAATAGTCAATGCAAGAATTAGAATATAAAGTTGAGACACTGTCCCAAAAAGTAGTGCTAAAAGACCAAGAAGTGAAAAACAAGGACACAGAAGAGAAAACATAAGAAAACCAGGGGCTCATGCCAGAATTTGAAAAATAGAAATTCTAGAAAAAGAGAACAGCACAGTAATGAATTATAAACCATTAAAAAATGGAAATACATGAATCCATACCAAGGATCAATAGATGATAGGCAGAGAGGTAGGTAGATAAATAGAGAGATGAACATATGGGTGAATGAATTCATGAATGGATAGATAGATATTGGGTGGGAGGGCATATGAATGGATGGACAGATGGATGTATGGATCGGGAGTGAAGGGTGGGCTCTTGCTTTTGGTAAAATGCTGAGGGCTTACTGTAAATGTGAAGGGAGTACAGGAATTAAATTCTAATTTGCAAGCATCATAGTAAAGGTTGGTTCAGGAAAGAAGTATTAATGGATGACAAATCTAGGGGGAAATTGTGGTGATTAAGGGGATATTAGCATGGTCTTAAAGTGTCTTCCCACAGATTGCTTGTTGCAAGGGGAAAAAATAACTATATGTGGAGAAATGGAACAGCATCTTGACCAGGTGACCAAAATTAACATCACCAGTGAGGGACAGATGGGCACTGAGTGCCTCCCAAATGTGATGACCTAAATAGATACAATACCACTGAAGTGGTATTCTGGTCAGGAAACGTATAACCTGAGTATAACCATGAGGAAACATCAGGATATCAAAATGAGTAGCATTCTATTTAAAATGAAAGGAGGGGCTTTATTCTTTAAAGAAAAGTGTCATAAAACACAAAGACATGCTGTGTAAATGTGCTAGATTAAGGGAGACTAAAGAGACATAACAACTAAAAGCAATATCTGATTCTAGACTCGATCCTGTGCTGGAGGGAAAAATATACATCAAAAACATTTTTGGGTCAATTAACAAAAGTGGAATATGGATGATAGATTAGATAAAAGTATTGCATTAATGTTAAATGTATCAAAATTGACTATGGAACTATGGATATTGTGAGATAATATTTTTATTCTTATGAAATATATATTGAAATATTTAGGAATAAACAGTGATGATATATAGGTCTTAGTTTCAAATGGTCCCCAAAATATTTTTATTTTTAGTATATGTGCACATAGGCTCTTTCATGTGTGTACATATGTTCGTGCATATAAAAGCAAATAGTAATGCAAATGGAAAAAATGTTAAGAATAGGAGAATCTGGGTAGAGATTATATGAATGTTCCATGTAATACTCTTATTCTTACAACTTTTTCATAATTTTAAAGTTATTCCCCACGTTTTTGAAATATTGCCTCCCATTTGCCTTTTCTCAGGAAGCAACTAGAGGATATGCTCCAACCAAAGGATGGAGTAAACTAATTACAAAGAAGAATCAGGAACTAGGGGAAGGAAGACTGAGGAAAAGGCAGGCAATTCTCAGTATGACAGTAAATGCAAGGTTGACATCGGGTAGGAGGCCAACACAAGCAACTACTCCTGCCTGGATGAGGATGCTGGAGGGAGTCCCAGAGAGATGTCTCCCCAACTCCCTGAAATAATACCTGTGGGTTATCCTGATGTGCCTGTGTCTAAAGGAACTTTACAGTTCTTTTGGGAGTTTGGAAAGAACTCTAGGGAAAAATAAACTTGCACACACACACACACAAAGAATGTACTGCATAATGTACTACTTGGCTCTCTCATGAACATTATTGACATGGTAATAATAATGTAAACATAGGAAGTTAATTTATCCAAAAATTGTGATAAAACTATGTTGAAAGAATGAAAGAAACCACCAGCAAACTGGTATTAACTGAGCAGCACCTAAGTGGACACATAGGTACTACAGAAATAGGGTATTGGGCAGGGGGGAGGGGCGGGTATATACATACATAATGAGTGAGATGCGCACCATCTGGGGGATGGTCATGCTGGAAACTCAGACTCGTGGGGGGAGGGGGGAAATGGGCATTTATTGAAACCTTAAAATCTGCACCCCCATAATATGCCGAAACAAAAAAAAAGAATGAAAGAAAGGAATAAAGGAATGGAAAGAATGGGGGCGTGGAGGGTGAGAGTATTAAATTCATAACTTCCATAGCTTCAAGATGGGCAATGCCTGAGTCAATTAATAAAGAAAGGCAGTGTAAGCATATCATTTGGAAATATGGCAGGAAATATCAGAAGAGACAGAAGACACAGCAGAAGAAAGAGGAGAAACTGATTGAGAAGTGACCGAGAAGCAGAACTCAGGGATGTGGGGAAGTGAATTGTAGTTTCTTGGGGTTATTTTATTGTTGATGTTGTTTGTTTATGATAAGCTTTGTAATACTATTCGGCTTCTATATAAGTATTGTTTGGATAAATATTTTTAAATCCCCAAAACTCCAAAGTTCTGCTTACCGTAACTATTAATAATATATTTATTTTGTATTTCCTTTTTTGATGCTATTTATACAGATGCCACTTAGAAAAGTTCCATCATTGTATTCTGGGTAAAATTTAGTTTCTTATGTTAGTTTTTATTTATTTATTTATTTATTTATTTTAATTTCAGCATATTATGGGGGTACAAATGTTAAGGTTACATATATTTCTTATGTTAGTTTCTTAAAACCATGAGTGAGTATATGCTTGTGAGTGTGTTGTGGAGTGTGCATATGTGAGTGTGTGTGGTGTGTGTGTGTGTGTGTGTGTGTGTGTGTTGGCTTTGAGAGGGAGAGGTAAAGGAAGGGTTTGGAGCTTGAATAATCAAAGTATTTGCAGAACTAAAGGAAGACCCTGTATTAATTAGACGCATCATACCATGCTCCTGCTCAAGAACATCAGGCAGCGGAGCGTGATGCCTAACAGTGAGACGGGGAGCACACAGGAAGGGGCTCTCATCAAACAGAAGGTTGTTGTCTGTAATCCTGGATACGGGACAGAATGGAGAGGGGGAAACACTGAAAGATGTTTGCTTGGTTTTAACCAACGAAGTGCTTAACTCATGATGTGGTCCAGCCAGGCAATTCT